TCGAATAGAGGGGAACGATCACGTCCCTCGATCTGCTGGCAATGCCCCTACTTATACATCCCAAAATGCCACTGGCCTTCTTGGCTACAAGGGCACACCGTTGACTCATATCCAACTTCTCGTCCACTGTAACCCCTAGGTCCTTTTCTGCAGAACTGCTGCCGAGCCATTTGGTCCCTAGTCTGTAGCGGTGCATTGGATTCTTCCGTCCTAAGTGTAGGACTCTGCACTTGTCCTTGTTGAACCTCATCAGATTTCTTTTGGCCCAATCCTCCAATTTGTCTAGGTCCCTCTGTATCCTATTCCTACCCTCCAGCGTATCTACCATTCCTCCCAGTTTAGTGTCATCTGCAAACTTGCTGAGGGTGCAATCCACACCATCCTCCAGATCAGTTATGAAGATATGGAACAAAACCGGCCCCAGGACCGACCCCTGGGGCACTCCACTTGATATCGGCTGCCAACTAGACATGGAGCCATTGATCACTACCCGTTGAGCCCGACAATCTAGCCAGCTTTCTATCCACCTTATAGTCCATTCATCCAGCCCATACTTCTTTAACTTGCTGGCAAGAATACTGTGGGAGACCGTGTCAAAAGCTTTGCTAAAGTCAAGGAACAACATGTCCACTGCTTTCCCTTCATCCACAGAGCCAGTTATCTCATCATAGAAGGCAATTAGATTAGTCAGGCATGACTTGCCCTTGGTGAATCCATGCTGACTGTTCCTGATCACTTTCCTCTCCTCTAAATGCTTCAGAATTGATTCCTTGAGGACCTGCTCCATGATTTTTCCAGGGACTGAGGTGAGGCTGACTGGCCTGTAGTTCCCAGGATTCTCCTTCTTCCCTTTTTTAAAGATGGGCACTACATTAGCCTTTTCCCAGTCGTCTGGGACCTCCCCCAATCGCCATGAGTTTTCAAAGATAATGGCCAATGGCTCTGCAATCACATCCGCCAACTCCTTAAGCACGCTCGGATGCAATACATCCGGCCCCTGGACTTGTGCTCGTCCAGCTTTTCTAAATAGTCCTGAACCACCTCTTTCTCCACAGCGGGCTGGTCACCTTCTCCCCATGCTGTGCTGCCCAGTGCAGTAGTCTGGGCGCTGACCTTGTTCATGAAGACAGAGGCAAAAAAAGCATTGAGTACATTAGCTTTTTCCACATCCTCTGTCACTAGGTTGCCTCCCTCATTCAGTAAGGGGCCCACACTTTCCTTGACTTTCTTCTTGTTGCTAACATACCTGAAGAAACCCTTCTTGTTACTCTTAACATCTATTGCTAGCTGCAACTCCAGGTGTGATTTGGCCTTCCTGATTTCACTCCTGCAAGCCCAAGCAATATTTTTATACTCATCCCCGGTCATTTGTCCAGTCTTCCACTTCTTGTAAGCTTCTTTTTTGTATTTAAGAGCAGCAAGGATTTCACTGTTAAGCCAAGCTGGTCGCCTGCCATACTTACTATTCTTTCTACACATCGGGATGGTTTGTCCCTGTAACCTCAATAAGGATTCTTTAAAATACAGCCAACTCTCCTGGACTCCTTTCCCCCTCATGTTATTCTCTCAGGGGATCTTGCCCATCAGTTCCCTGAGGGAGTCAAAGTCTGCTTTTCTGAAGTCCAGGGTCTGTATTCTGCTGCTCTCCTTTCTTCCTTGTGTTAGGATCCTGAACTCAACCATTTCATGGTCACTGCCTCCCAGGTTCCCATCCACTTTTGCTTCCCCTACTAATTCTTCCTGGTTTGTGAGCAGCAGGTCAAGAAGAGCTCTGCCCCTAGTTGGTTCCTCCAGCACTTGCACCAGGAAATTGTTCCCTACATTTTCCAAAAACTTCCTGGATTGCCTGTGCACCGCTGTTTTGCTCTCCCAGCAGATATCAGGGTGATTGAAGTCTCCCATGAGAACCAGGGCCTGCGATCTTGTAACTTCTGCGAGTTGCCGGAAGAAAGCCTCATCCACCTCATCCCCCTGATCTGGTGGTCTATAGTAGACTCACACCATGACATCACCCTTGTTGCTCACATTTCTAAACATAATCCAGAGACTCTCAAGTTTTTCTGCAGTTTCATACTTGAGCTCTGAGCAGTCATACTGCTCTCTTACATATAGGGCATCTCCCCCACCTTTTCTGCTCTGCCTGTCCTTCCTGAACAGCTTATATCCATCCATGACAGTACTTCAGTCATGTGAGTTATCCAACCAAGTCTCTGTTATTCCAATCACATCATAATTCCTTGACTGTGCCAGGACTTCCAGTTCTCCCTGCTTGTTTCCCAGGCTTCGTGCATTTGTATATAGCCACTTGAGGTAACCTGCTGATCATTCCTCTTTCTCAGTATGAGGCAGGAGCCCTCCCCTCTCACGTGCTCCTGCTCGTGCCTCCTCCCTGTATCCCACTTCCCCACTTACCTCAGGGCTTTGGTCTCCTTCCCCTGGTGAACCTAGTTTAAAGCCCTCCTCACTAGGTTAGCCAGCCTGCTTGCGAAGATGCTCTTCCCTCTCTTCGTTAGGTGGAGTCCGTCTCTGCCTAGCACTCCTTCTTGGAACACCATCCCATGGTCAAAGAATCCAAAGCCTTCTCTCCGGCACCACCTGCGTAACCATTCCTTGACTTCCACAATTCGACGGTCTCTACCCAGGCCTTTTCCTTCCACAGGGAGGATGGACGAGAACACCACTTGCACCTCAAACTCCTTTATCCTTCTTCCCAGAGCCACGTAGTCCGCAGTGATCCGCTCAAGGTCATTCTTGGCAGTATCATGGGTGCTCACGTGAGGAAGCAGGAAGGGGTAGCGATCTGAGGGCTTGATGAGTCTCGGCAGTCTCTCCATCACATCGCGAATCTTAGCTCCTGGGAAGCAGCAGGTTTTCCTGGTTGGGGCAGCAGATAGATGACTCAGTCCCCCTGAGGAGAGAATCCCTGACCACCACCACCTGCCTCCTTCTCTTGGGAGCCTCCTTCTCTCAGAATAGACAAATTCTGACTAGAAATAAGGCACACTTTTTTTTATAGTGATGGTAATTAACCATTGAAATAATTTACCTTCAGATCTGGTGGATTCTGTATGTCTTGAAGACTTTAAAACAAATCTGGATGTCTTTTTAAAATATACACTTGAGTTAAATATCTGACAGGAAAACTAATCTCACTTTGAGGTTTCTAGTGTGTTAGAGAGAGAAATTATTCCTAAAATTAGATATTATATCTATACTATCTATACTATCCCCCAGGTTGACAGTGTCCCTTTCAAGACAGAGTAACAAGCCTAATTTTGAATTTCTCTGCCTTTGTGGGGTATGAAATACAATAATAGTCAGATAAGTGACTATATTTATATATGGCTCCTTCTTGCTGGGAGATGTACTTCCTATAGATATCCCACTTCACAGTTGCTTATTTAAAAGTAGTAACAATTTTTTTTTAATTTTAGTCCTATTATCATTGCTGAGCCCATAGCAGCAAGAGAGAGTAATATGAATTTTTTTTGTCTTGTGCATTATCCACAGAATTAGTAACTAAAGGCTTACCTACGCTGTGCTGCAGTGCAGATTACATGAATATGATTACAGAATGCCCCAAAGTGTTGTGCTGTAACTGCCTTGTGTGGACACTTCTGGCATGAACTAAAAGGTACTTAGTTCACATTAACATAGTACTGTTTGAAAGACTACAGTAAAAGACAGTTACCTTTTCCGTAACTGGTGTTCTTCGAGATGTGTTGCTCGTCTATTCCACAATAGGTGTGCATGCTCGCCATGTGCACCAGTGCTGGAAGTTTTTCCCCTAGCAGTACCTATAGGGGGGAGCGCCCCGCCACGGCGCCTGCCTGGCATGGCAGAAGGGGAGCTGTGCTCCCCCCACTGTCATTTCCTTCTTGCCAGACAACTCCGAGAGAGGGGAAGAAGGGTGGGATGTGGAATAGCCATGAGCAACACATCTCGAAGAATACCAGTTACAGAAAAGGTAACTGTCTTTTCTTCTTCGAGTGATTGCTCGTGTGTATTCCACAACAGGTGATTCCAAGCTATATCTGTTGGAGGTGGGTAGGAGTTCACAAGTTCTCAGGACAGAATACCGCCCTCCGAACCTGGCAACATCCCTGGCCTGGGAGACAATCGCATAGTGTGAGGTGAACGTGTGAACTGAAGACCACGTGGCGGCCCTACAAATGTCCTGGATGGGGACATGGGCCACGAAGGCAGCTGACAAGGCCTGCACCCGAGTCAAGTGTACCCTCACAATGGGTGGCGGGGGAACCCCCGCCAGCTCACAACAGGAACAGATGAGTGGAAATCGGCTCAGCCGAGGTGACAAACAATTGCAAAGACTTTCTGAATGGCTTGGTCCGCTTGAGGTAGAAAGCCAGAGCTTGCTCACATCGAGTGTGTGGAGATGGTGTTCCTCACTAGTCGTGTGAGGCTTGGGTCAGAGGACTGGCAGAAAAACGTCCTGACCCATGTGGTAGGCGGAAACCACCTTCGGGAAGAATGCGGGGTGTGGGCGGAGCTGGACCTTGTCCTTATGAAAAACTGTACATGGCAGTTTGGAGGTTAGGGCCCTGAACTCCAAGACCCGCCCAGCCAACGTGATAGCTACCAGGAAGGCCACCTTCCATGAGAGGTGAGACCAGGAACACGTGGCCAGTGGTTCAAACAGGGCCCCCGTGAGATGAGCCAGCACAAAGTTTAGGTCCCCCTGTGGAACCAGGGGCTTGGAATATGGGTAGAGATGGTCCAAATCCTTAAGGAACTAGTTGGTCACAGCATGGGAAAACACTGTGTGCCCTTGCACCAGGGGATGAAAGCCAATATAGCCGCCAAGTGCACCCTGACTGATGAGGGTGCCAGTCCCTAAACCCTCAGGTAGAGGAGGTAATCAAGGATAAGCTGGATCAGGGTGGCCGTGAGGGAAACACCCTGGCCTGCTGCCCACCTTGAAAACGGAGACCACTTCGCCACATAGGAGCGGTGAGTTGAGGGCTGTCTACTTTTGAGGAGGACGTGCTGAACCTGTTCCGAGCACGTCCTTTCCTCGCCACTTAGCCACTGAGCAGCCACGCTGTGAGGTGAAGCGTTGCTAGGTTGGGATGGAAGAGGTGACCCTGGTCCTGAGAGAGCAGGTCCGGGTGGAGTGGCTACCGCCAGCCCTGAGAGGGTCCTGTACCAGTGCTGCCGGGGCCACACCGGAGTAACTAGGAGGACCCTGGCTTTGTCTGTCTTTATTTTCTCCAGGGTCCTACTGATCAGAGGGAATGGGGGAATGGTGTAGAAGAGCTGGCCAGACCACGACAGGGGAAAGGCATCGGAGATAGCGCCCTTCCCTACCCCCCCGGGAGCAGAACAGGGGGCATTGTCGGTTCTGCCGGGTTGCAAATAGGTCTACCTGGGGAGTACCCCACCTTTGGAAGAGCTGGTGAGCCACTTCTGGGTGTAGAGACCACTCGTGCTGAGAGGAAAAATCCCTGCTCAAGTGATCCGCCCTCACATGCCGGGCGCCTGGCAGGTGGAAGGCTTTTAGGTAGATGTTGTGGTCTATACAGAAGTCCCACAGACTGAGGGCTTCGTGGTAGAGGGCAGAGGATCAGGCCCCACCTTGCCGCTTGATACAGAACATCGCGGCTGTGTTGTCTGTGACAACCCTGACTACCTTGCCCTCCAGGTGCGAGCAGAAGGCCATACACACCAGTCGCATCGCCCTGAGTTCCTTGACATTTATATGAAGGGGTAGGTCTTGTAGAGACCACAGGCCTGGGGTTTGAAAGTTCCCCACATGGGCCACACAATCCAGGTCCGACGCGTCGGACACCAGTTCCAATGACAGGGCCCTGTCCCTGAACGGGACCCCTTGGAGCATGTTGTTTGGGACTGACTACCACCGCAGGGAGGTGATCACTGAGTTCACCATGGTGAGGACTTTTTGTCCATTCTGTCCGTGGCCAGGGAGAACTGCGAGGCCAGACAGAGCTGGAGGGGCCTCATTCTGAGTCTGGTGTGACAGATCACATATGTGCACGCAGACATGTGACCCAGCAGTTGCAGGCAAATCCTGGCTGTCATCACCGGAAACCTTGTGACCACATCGATGAGCCCTTTCAGGGTCTTGAACCTGTCTGGTGGGAGAGAGGCCCTGGCCGACGTCGCGTCCAGTAGCGCCCCAATAAACTCTGTGCATTGGACCTGGACTAACATGGACTTGGTATTGTTTATCAACAGGCCCAGGGCAGTACATGTGGACAGCAGGCGTGCCACATGATCCCTCACCTGCAACTGGGAGGTGCCTTTGACTAGCCAGTCATCCAGATATGGGAATATTTGGACCCCCTGGCGTCTGAGGTAGGCCGCTACCGCTGCCATACACTTTGTAAAGACCCTGGGGGCGGTGGACAGACCAAACGGTAGGACCGTTAATTAGTAGTGACTGTCCCACTATGAAACAGAGGAAGTGTCTGTGCCCCTCGAATATGTGGATGTGGAAGTACGCGTCCTGTAGATCGAGGGCAGAGTACCAGTCCCCGGGATCCATGGAGGGGATGATGGAGGCCAGGGAAACCATGCGGAACTTGAGTTTTACCATGTAGTGGTTCAGGCCTCACAGGTCCATGATGGGCCTGAGCCCCGCTTTGGGATAAGGAAATACCAGGAGTAATACCCCCTGCCCAGGAACTCCTTGGGCACCACCTCTATAGCTTCTAGGTAGAGGAGCTGCCCCATCTCCTGCTTGAGCAGGGCCTTGTGAGAGGGGTCCCCTGGAAGGGATGGCGGCGGAGGGTGGTTGGGCGGGGAGGAGGTAAACTGAAGGGTGTAACCTCAGGAGATGGTGTTGAGGACCCATCGGTCCGAGGTGAGCCTCGTGGACCATTCTGGGAGGAAAGCACACAACCGATTGGAGAAAAGGAGCTTTACTGGGGGTAGGTCCCTGCTGAGAATTGGCAGGGTACCCCCGAGCGTCCCGTCAAAAGCGCCTTTTGCCTGCCTGCTTTCCCTTAGAAGACCCAGGCTGGGGGGCTGACCAGGATTGCCGTTGCAGGCTCTTTCTATAGTCCCACTGCTTTTTGTGGGTGGCCTCGTACTTTGGGAGGGTGGCCTGGGCTGGAGCCTGCTGAGGCTTGAACTTGGGTTTTGCTGGAGGAGGGACATAGAGGCCCAAGGCCTAGAGGGTCGTGCGGGAGTCTTTCATGCCATGCAGCCTTGTGTCTGTTTCCTCAGCAAACAGAGCCTTCCCGTTGAAAGGGAGATCCTGCACTGACAGCTGCGCCTTGCTGGAGAGCCCAGAGAGCAGAAGCCATGACGACTGTCTCATGGACACTACTGTGGCCATGGACCATTCAGCCATGTCTGCTGCATCCAAAGCGGCCTACAGGGATGCCCTTGCGGCCGCCATTCCTTCCTCCACGAGCATCTCAAACTCTTTCTTACTGCGCTCCTGGAGGGAGTCCTCAAACTTGGGGAGGGATTCCCAGAGGTTAAACTCGGAGTGACCCAGGAGAGCCTGATGGTTTGCTACTAGTAGCTGGAAGCTTGATGACGAATAAACTTTTCTCCAGAAAGTATCCAGCCTCCAAGTGTCTTTGTTCTTGGGGGTCGGGGCTGGTTGCCCCTGCCGCTCCCTTTGGTTGACCGACTCGACCACCAAGGAGTTGGGCGCCAGATGGGTATACAGATACTCGTGTTCCTTCGTGCGTACCAAGTACTTGCGCTCCGCCTTTTTAGAGATGGGAGCCAACGAGGCTGGTGTTTTGCCACAGGGCAGTTGAAATTCTTGCCACCCCTTCATGGAGCGGCAAGGCCACCCTCCCCGGTGCTGAAGAGGAGAGCACATTGAACAGAGAGTCTGCGGGCCCTTCCATTTCCTCAGCCTGGGAGTGGAAGCTCACTGCCACACTTTTTAGGAGGGCTTGGTGAACCTGGTAGTCCTCCTGCGGTATAGAGGGGGGCAGGGCCACAATCAGCTCCTCCGGACGGGGCGAAGCCGGTACAGTGCTTTGGGTATTGTCCGGCACCGGAGGATCCACCACCTGGTCGGACTCCGGGCACGGTACTGAGGACACAGGTCCCACCGACCTTTTTTCTGGCAGTCTAAAGATGGACGCCGACGGTGCTTCCGAGGCCCTGGCCACCGAGCGAGCCGCTATGGGGGGCTGCGCTGGAGGCCACGGTGCTCACTGGTACCACTGGACTAGCCATGATGTTTGGTGCCACTGCGCTTGCTGCGGCACCAACGGGGTCGGCCGTTCGCGCTGGCTAGCTTGGCCTGTAGATGGGCGCCTGCGAGGGGAGTCCAGGCTGGTGTATGATCAGCTGCTGCCTCTGGACCGGGAGTATTGACGGTGCTGGGACCTATGTCAGCCACGGGACCACAATCCTGATGCGGAGGAGCGGCGCTGACAGTAGTAGCTGCTCTACGAACGACCTCGATGGGCGGATCCGCGTTGGCGAGGCGCTGGTGATCGATGCCCGGGACTACAGTGCCTTGGCGGAGACTTGGAATGGGAGTCCGAGCAGGAACGGCGTCAACGATCATGCCATGACCGAAGGCGGTATCTCCTGCGAGATGAGGACAGTTGGTGACATCCGCCATGGTCCTGTCGATATTCGCTTTGCAAAGACGAGCGGTGCCGGGAGTCCTGGTTGGACAGCATGCATCCAGACAATCTGGCTGGTGTCGAGGGCGATCCACATGGACTGAGCCCTGAATGGTCCCTGGGTTGTGAGCGGTGTCGGGAATGTTCCCTCGACCGACACCAGTACCGGGCCAGTGGCGACTGCGATGATCCCAGCGGCGGCTTGGATCATGAGTGTGTGGCCCACATCGGCGTAGCTCTGGGCACTGGCATGGACATGACGTCCCTGGCTGCCTGGAGGGCTTTGGTCATAGATGGCATCCGGACATCCGGAGAGACTGGCTCCGAAGGGGCCGGGCTACTCCACTCAACATGAGTTGGAGGCCTAGGGCCCAATGAGGATCGAGGACTACCCGACATGGGCCTAGCCTCTGCCCCAGACGTCCCTCAGTGCCATTGTGAAGAGGAAGTCTTCCCGGTCCTCTTGGCGTGCCCCAGGGATGGGGAGCAGTGCCGACTGCACGATGGTTCTGGAGGGTCTCACGTAACAACGCTGCGGTGCCAGGTACCAGTTTGGAGTGGCGTGCCGGGTTTGGGGCCAGCGCCAACTCCATCAGGATAGGCTGGAGCCTAATGTCCCTTTCTTTTTTAGTCCAGGGCTTGAAAGCCTTGCAGATCTTGCACCTTTTGCTGATATGGGCTTCTCCCAAGCAGCGCAGACAATCTGCGTGCAGGTTGCTCCTTGGCATAGAGCACCTACAATAGCCGCACGACTTAAAGCATGCCCCAGCCCAGGCTCAATGACTAACTAAACTAACTGAATTAGCTAACTAACTATAGGTATTACTGAACAAACGATGAGTTCTGGGGACGAGCTGCAGCAAAGCTGGAGCTGAGCAGTTCCAACACACCTTCACTGGGGGCAAGAAGGAACTGAGGGTGGGGGGAGCGCAGCCCGCCTTATACTCCACCAGGCAGGCACCGCAGGGCGGCACTCCCCCCTACGGGTACTGCTAGGGGAAAAACTTCCAGTACCGGTGCACGTGGTGAGCATGCACACCTATTGTGGCATACACATGAGCAATCACTCGAAGAAGAACATTTACTACGTACCTTTTCATTCACACCAGCAGTGTTCATATGGACAGTTAGAGAACAATACTTTGGTGCATTCTGCAATTCACACCTGTAGTCATATGTAGACATAGCCTAAATTCTTATCACATAAAACTTACCTCAAGGCATTCAGATTTACACACCTTAATTGCACCTTAACTACACACACAAATTCCTCTGGGAAAATAACACTTTCTGGTGATGATGCAGTAACCAGAAAACACAGCTTGACATTCAGACTCCATTTGGTACATTTGCAAGATAGACAACTCTTTAGAAAAAAACATCAAAACCAGAGAACATACATACCTGTAAAAACAGGTTTTACTGCTCATGTTATTGTGGAATAGAATTTACTCATTCCTCAAACACATGAACTGAGCAAACTTGATATAGAATTCATTGAGGGACAATGAATGTGGAACACTATTTTTAAAAAAAAAAGAGTCACATTTCAGAACAGAACTTTAATTTAATCATTAATTTGGGTTTTTTGGCAATTTACTTTTAGTTTCACTTTAAAATTATGATTAAAAACAAAAACAGAGAAGGCAATATTGCCAACCCGAGAAGTCCAAAAATCATGAGTCAGCCCTCCTCAAAGTCATAAGATTTTTTTTATAAAAAGATTTAATCATATTTTTTGTTTGTCATCTGGCTTTTGAATTCTCCTTGCCCTCTCTCTCTCTGTGTGTGATGCAATTATAATGTTGTCAGCTCTCACAAATGTTTAGTGAGTAAGATGATTTTTGCCCCTCTGCAGAAGTTCTTTCTGGAGGACCCTATCAAGATCAGCTCACCAGTCCCTACTGTGCTAGGAATTGTTCATACACATAGTTAGGCCTGGTTCACAGACACACAGATTTTGTACCAGTTTAACCAGTTTAACTGTTGTGACAAAGCTCCGAGCCTGTATTGGTGGGTCCCGCACTTTTGGGCTCTCAATGTGACCTCCCTTTCTTAAGGGTCGCAGCCTACCGAGCTACTTTCATCATAGACCAGAATGGGAGATGGGGAGGGGGAATACCCCACAGTCTCTGATGCTCCTTTGAGCTTAGTAGGCGCAGTTCGGCCTCCTGCCTGCACCAAAGCCTGCTTCCCTTCTCAAGGGAGTCTCTGTAGAGCACAGGGGGGAACCCGGGCCCACTCTCTACTCCGGGTTCCAGCCCAGGGACCCTAATGGTAGCAACTCTTGGTGGCTTCCTCTTCACCCATGGAGCTGCTTTGATTTCCTGGGCCACTTCCCCCTGGTCCCCTTTTTCTAGCTTCACCCTTAGTTCAGCTCCTTTCACCTGGGGGCCTTTTTGAGGGAACTGGAAGGAGAGCTTTTAAAGCAGTTGTCAAGTTTCCTTCCCCACTCTGAACTCTAGGGTACAGATGTGGGGACCTGCATGAAAACCTCCTAAGCATACTTTTACCATCTTAGGTGAAAACTTCCCCAAGGTACAAACTATTTTACCTTTTGTCCTTGGACTTATCACTGCCACCACCAAATGTCTAACGGGCGGAGGGATAGCTCAGTGGTTTGAGCTTTGGCCTGCTAAATCCAGGGTTGTGAGTTCAATCCTTGAGGGGGCCATTTAGGGATATAGGGCAAAAATTGGGGATTGGTCCTGCTTTGAGGAGGGGGTTGGACTAGATGACCTCTTGAGGTCCCTTCCAACCTTGATATTCTATGGATTCTATGATATAATTTGGAAAGAGTCCGTTTGGAAACGTCTTTCCCCCCAAATCCTCCCAAACGTTACCCCCCCTTTTCTGGGGAAGGTTTGATAAAAATCCTCACCAATTTGCATAGGTGAACACAGACCCAAACCCTTGGATCTTAAGAACAATGAAAAAGCATTCAGTTTCTTAAAAGAAGAATTTTAATAGAAGAAAAAGTAAAAAGAATCACCTGTGTAAAATCAGGATGGTAAATATCTTACAGGGTAATTAGATTCAAAACATAGAGAATCCCTCTCGGCAAAACCTTAAGTTACAAAAAGACACAAAAACAGGAATATCCATTCCATTCAGCACAGCTTATTTTCTCTGCCATTTAAAGAAATCAGAATCTAACGCATAATCTAGCTAGATTACTTACTAAGTTCTAAGACTCCATTCCTGTTCTGTCCCCGGCAAAAGCATCACACAGACAGAGAGAGAGGCTTTATTTCTCCCTCCCCCCAGCTTTTGAAAGTATCTTGTCTCCTCATTGGTCATTTTGGTCAGGTGCCAGTGAGGTTATCCTAGCTTCTTAACCCTTTACAGGTGAAAGGGTTTTTCCTCTGGCCAGGAGGGATTTTAAAGGTGTTTACCCTTCCCTTTATATTTATGACATGCCCCGCAAATCATAGATAGGGTGAAACGCTGGCTGGGATTTCTTCCTGGAGCTCTAGGAAAAAACAGAGTTAATAAGACACATGCACCTCTAAATATACTACCAAGTATACGAAGACTAATAATATTTTCCACATCTCACGGACGATTTTAACCAGTTGATTCTGGGAAACTTTACAGGAGAGTGCATCAGCCACTTTGTTAGAAGCTCCTGAGATGTGTTGGATGTCGAAATCAAAATCTTGGAGAGCTAAACTCCACCGAATAAGTTTTTTGTTATTTCCCGTGGTGGTATGAAGCCACCGTAGCGCAGCATGGTCAGTTTGCAGGTGGAAACGCCATCCCCAAACACATGGGCGTAGCTTTTCCAGAGCGTAGACAATGGCGTGACATTCTCTTTCACTGACTGACCAGTTGCTTTCCCTCTCAGACAGCTTCTTGCTGAGAAAAACTACAGGGTGGAATTCTTGATCTGGTCCTTCCTGCATTAAAACTGCTCCCACACCACGC